ATCGAAACGCAGTGAAAAGAGAATTTGCTAGAGGAGATTTATTTCTTGTTTTATCAACGAATCGTCAAAGTAAACTGAAAGTGCAATGGGAAAGGACCTGCAAAAATAGAGCAGAAAATTTCAGAAACCAATTATATTGTAAGTTTCGAGGAACAAAATGAGCCAAATCAAGTATTTCACATTAACATGCTTAAACCATATTACAAAAGACCAGAAATGATTAATATGGTAACTGAAGTGGAAGGAGACTTAGAAATGGACATTCCTCATTTACCTTTCAATCCAAGTATATTAAATTTCTCGGACATCATAGAGGAGAATGAACTCGAGAAAAGGTTGAAATCTGAGCAAGTAGAAGATTTACGAGAGATTTTATGGAAATATTTTGGTTGTTTTTCAAATAATCCTGGACTAACAAAGCTAGTTTGTCACAACATTGAGCTATTAAATAACGAACCAATACAAATAAAGCCATACAGACTGTCACCCCAAATTCTCAAAAAGAAATCCAGAAAATGCTCGATCTTAAAATTATAGAGCCGGGAGAGTCGGACTATACATCTCCCATGATTTTGATAGAATCTTCATCAAATGATCCTCGGCCTTGTACTGATTATAAACTCAATGCTGTTACTAAAACTGAATACTATCCTTTGCCTAATATTGAATAACGTATCGAAACTGTAGCAAAAGCAAAATATATTAACCTTCTAGATTTATCTAGAGGCTACTGGCAAATTCCTTTAAAAGAAAGATCCCAAAGATATGCAACATTTGTAACTAGTTTTATAAGTTTCAGGCCTCTACGTTTAACCTTTGGATTAAAAAATGCTCCATATTATATTTTTAGCAATATTATGACTAAAGTCCTGGCTGGATGCGAAGGATTCGCTGTACCATACCTGGATGATATTGCCATTCACTAAGAAAACTGGGAAGAGGACTTATAAACCTAACTTCTGTTCTAGAGAGAATACAGAAAGCAAACTTACGACTAAAACCATCAAAATGTAAATTTGCACAAGATCAAGTGAGATACCTAGGCCATGTTGTGGGACAAGGACAACGAACCTCGGATGAAGTAAAGATCCTGGCTGTAGAGGAGTATCCTACACATAAAACCAAAACAGAAGTACGTGCTTTCTTAGGACTAGCAGGATATTATCGCCAGTACATACCGAGATTTTCGGAAATTGCTTCACAACTCACGGACGCCTTGAAGGGGGTAACAAAAAAAAGGAAATATACAATGGTCTGAAATATGTTACAAAGCTTTTAAAAATTTAAAAGAGTTGCTATGCAAAAAACCAATTCTGTATGCCCCCGACTTTGATAAAAGGCTTATTATACAAACCGTGCCTCAGACAATGGCATGGGTAGAGTACTATGCCAATTAGAAGATGAACAACATGAACATCCTATCTTGTATATAAGCAAAACATTTACCAAATTTGAAAAGAATTATTGTACTACTGAAAAGAGGTGCGCTGCTATCATCTACGTTATCAAGAAACTGCATTTTTATCTGGATGGTCAGCAAGAATTCTTGATTCAAACGGATCATAACCCTTTGGTTTGGCTACAATCCAACGCCAAATGTAACTCTAGATTTATGAGATGGGCAATCTCATTACAACCTTATAATTTTAAGGTCATTCATCACAAAGGATCTTTGCACAAGAACGTAGACGTTCCGAGTAGAATTAAACAATATAATAACTCTTAGTGTATGTAACCACGTTTAGAATTTATTTTATTATTTAATGTATGCTCAACTGATGTATTTGAACGTTCTCCATTTTCTTTCTATTTAAATGTGGTGTAAAAGTATTTGTTTAAAACTTAAAATTTTTGGCCTGAAATTTGGAAATTTATAAGAGAAATTACCTTTTCCTCTTTAAGCAATTGAGCAAGCCGAGCTTATAAACTTACGAATTTTACAGAACTTTTCCTTTTGGAAAAAGTCTCTCCGTTGGGCGAGAGATTTTAACAGCTTTAAATATTAATTATTATAATCTTGTAGTTTAAATAATTTAAATAGATGAACATTAAGGTATTTGTGAATGGCAATATTTGAAACCAGTCTCGAGTGCCACGTGCGACTCTCGCACGAAGATTGTAATTTTTTTTAAATGTTAGTATTCTTTCTTCTTCTTGTTTTGTATGTCGCCATTTGAGTGTTCAATAAAGTTTTTTTTTCTGTGTTCCATCATTGGAGTTGCTTCATATTGCCAAAGAAGTATCACAGTGGTAAATTGTATAAACATGCATTGTTAGTACCGCTAAATATCTTTTATTTAACATATTTAGCATTTCGCAAATGCGGTTTTAGTCGAAAAGTTTCAAATTAAAATTATTTCCTTTTCATTGCATACCAAAAATGAAGAAACATCATATGGAAAACTCTGTTGTAACAATTAAATTTGCTTAAGAAGATTATTTCTTATCTTTATCTACATTAGTTTGCAACGCATTTCCGCAAACAGGAAAGTGGTTACATAAAATTCAAACTACAGCGGAACAATGTAGTACCTAAAATGATGATATTATACAAACCAAAAAGATTGAGACGATGGCTACAGTGCAGAAGGAATAGAAAAATGCTTTATTGACATTTTGCCTGAATGAGCGACAAACCAAAAAACCTCGTTTAGTTATTTGGTTTGTCGCTGGCACTTTAACTAAAATGAATAGCACCGTCTGTCGATACTGGCTACCAAAGTATCTAAACATTCTTTGGGTAACATTTTCGATTAGCCAAGAAGCATCACTTTCAGTCAGATGTCGGGAGATTAAGATCATGCCTCCAGGCATCTCATTTTATATATTCAACGCATGTTAAAATAGATTTTTATTCGGCATGCACATTGCCTAATTCGTTCGGTGGATACCTGCAATCCCAATCCCTGTTTGACACCATGAGTTATACGCAGCGATATTTTGACATCCGTAAAAGGAAAGTCAGCTCGACAGGCTTCCCAGTAAAACAGTAGATAATGCAGGACACTTTCAGCACAGTAACGATTTATGTCAAAATAACCTCTTTTGAAAATGTGGAGCTCCGTCCCTACCTTAATGGCAATGCCTCCGTATACAAGCCCTACGAAGCCTTTGGAAAAATCGCTTTCTCTGATGTTATTGGAAGAAATTCATAACCATAACTCTATGGCGACTGAAGGGCAGAATCCAGTTACACACAGAAAGAAATATCAGTGATAAAGAGTACCCGACAGCTATGGTGAGGTGTCCTGTGCTTGTGTTCTCTACACCATTGGCAGTGTTGGCACAAAAATGTTACTGTAAATAAAACGCAGGATTTATACCATTCACGGGGTGCGAACGATCATTATTTATAAGGTGTCCGGTTACAGTGATCCAGGACATTTCTCGCCCGACTACCTTCGCAACTGATGACGTATATTGCCCGCTTTGCAATTTAGATACATTTTCTCATTCACAGAAAAGTATATCTTGGGAGCTTGCATGCCGATATGTCAATTCGCTTCCATGACCGACCTTAAATCAATATTGTTGTAGCTGTAGCTACCGTTCAGATGTACTTCCAAATTCGAGCAATAAAACATTTATCTATTCAAAAGGTGACCTGATGTTTTGTCGTACATATACTGCAGGCGCAATATCACTTTTACGTGGAGAAAAATTGGCTAGAACGGCATGTTGCCTTTTCCATTTGGAGCTCCTCTCCACTGCTAGCCCAGACTCCTCGAGTCTTGCATGCCCGTACATATATTATATAAAAAAGCAACGTACGCTGTTAGAACATAGAAATGTCTTTTACGTGTAATTTCCATTGATATATATGTAATCAACATTTCTTAAAAGAAAAAATATCCAGGGCAAATGAGGTTCGCTGGAAATATTTAACTCGAAAATCATTTTCTCTTCAAGAATGCAGCGTCCCAAAATATCACGCGAAATTTATTCATTCACAACCAATAAATCTGCAAAAGGAAACTTTGAATTTTAGATTACCTACAGTTATGCGCAGAACGCAACCAAATCCCTCATTTTCGTGTTAATTCGAAACCCATCCACTTACAAAGATAGAATTTACATTACAGTAATTACATTATATTATAATTGTTTAACATTGCCTTTTAACGCAATCATTAAGACCTATTTTCTCGCGCATAATTAAAACAACTGATTCCATTGAAATAATTACATTCTCGAAAAGGAACTAACACTTCGAAGAACAAGATAAATGAGCGCAATAGTTTTCGAACCTATTTATTACGTCTCTAAATAAGAACGTATCTAACGTCTCTTCTTAAAAGCAAAAATGTAATCAAACATGATAGCTGTTTTAAAAAAGTAATTGGCAACCTCAAAATTAACATTCTATATTTGGTGATCTCCCCCATTAGGTTCCTCTTTTCTTCCAGGTTCCTGATTTTTCAGTGTTGCGTAACGTCTTAATGCAAATACCTCTTGTTCAATCAATTAATTATGAACCAAAATTTGAAACTGAAACATTTCTGACTCCCAATCTTCTTTCTCTGAAGTACTAAGACACCCTTCCATTTTCGCATACTCTCACCTGCTACAAGATGCTTTTCAACCGCGTTGCTGCCGATTACTTGCTTAAGATGACGTCGTACTCAAAATGCAACTTGTATTCAAATATAATTAGGGAACATCTTGTCTGCTAAAGGATCCTTAAATACACGTAAAGGAATAAAGATTGTGAATCTTCTTAATCCTCTGTGCCAAATACGTCGTCATGAATTTCCACTCAGCTCTACCTTCAGCCACTACGGTGTTCTCAGCCATCTAGGCAAAATCAAAGGGTGTTTAAAAGTTCCTGTGTTTTAGTCTACGCATTTTAATATTATTACATGTACATATATCGGTTCACTATGACGCCTAAATGCAATAATACTCCTAAATTGTGTTAGCACTTAAACAGATAACAGTGTTTTTCATTCCTATCATAAGATGAGATAAATAATTTAAAACATTATGAATAAAATAGATACCTTTATTGCATATGTCGCATGTAGTGTCTTCTGGGAATCCATCTGTCGTACCTGCGTGCAGAAATATTTATTTTAATGTATTTCCAACTTAAAAATAAACTGCGCTTTGGAATAATTTCAGCTAGTACAGCAGCCTAAAGACATTTTCTTGGCATTAAAATAACTAATATTTTCTTTTTTTATGAAAGCTAAAGGGAATTTAAACTAAATTATAAAAATGAAGCCTATTCAACTCTTTCAACTATACAGTCATCATATCCCAATGTTCGTTCTCAAATTTGATCTGATTTTAAACATGAATATGGGAGCAAATAAGTTCAAAAATTCCTAAAAATTATAAGTAGTTTGAAACTATAAATAGAACTCAAATCCTAAATCTATTAACATAATACGCAGATGTTCAGATTAGGCTTCAAATAATATAATCTAATGCTATATTCAGGACTTTGTGTAATAAAAAATGGAGTAAATGTCAGAATCTCGATGTTTCCACTTACTGAGATTTCCATATCTGTAAGGATTGGTTTCTCCTTTTCGGATTGATTAACCATAAGTTTAACTTTAATGTTCTTTCACTGTTGTATATTTTTAATACGAACCTATTTTTTAGGACTCTAATTACGAATGCATGCAACGTCTCTGCTTAAAACCAAAAATATAAACTAATGTACAATCGATTCATATATGACGCCTAAATGCATAAGACTACCTGATGCGATTGAAAATTTAGAAAATACCAGTGTGTTCCTTCTTATCATAAAACTTAAAATAGATGTGTGTGTGTGTGTGATTATGCAAAGCCTCGAGGGCTATCTGCCTAAGAGGAGGAATGCCTTTGTCAAGGGCTTTCTAAGGGAAACTGGCTCGTATACACGTTACACATGGGGAAAACCATGAAAACACCCATGCAGCCAGCCCGTTCACGGGATTCGAATTTCAGACCGAACAACCAGTGTTCAGCGACTTTTACGCTCGGCCGCTGGTGAGCACTTATACTAGATAATTATTTGTAATAATTATAAATAAAATAGATACTTGTATTGCCTTTATCGCATGTAGTTTCTTCCTTGGATTCACATGGCGTAGCTGCGTGCACAAATATTTATTTTAAATGCATTTTCGACCTAAAAAAAGGATACTATAGGAAATTCAACTCTTTCTACTGAACATTCATCATATTAAATAGTTAGTTCTCAAATTAGATCTGATTTTAAGCATCCGTATAGGTGCAAATATTTTCAGAAATTCCTAAAATTTATAAGCAGTTTGAAATTGAAAATTGAGCCCGAAACCTTAAATGTGTTATTTTAATACGCAGTATTTGAGATTCGTCTTCAAATAATCTAATCTAATACCACATTCATGACGTGGTCTGTAATAACAAAAGTATTACTTGTTAGAATCTCGATGATGTCGTTCAGTTTAATTTCCGCATCCGTAAGGGATGGTTTTTAGCTATTCAAATTGCTTAACATAACATTAACATTACTTTGATTTCACTGATATATTTTATAAAAATAATGTTTAAATATGCGGCAATGTTTGAAAGAATTCAGGAAATGGCAAAATATATAAGTATGCATTGGCAAAATATATTTATATATATAACCAATGCAATATATAAACATGCACTTTAGCTAACTGTAAGATATTTAGTACTGCTAAATACCTTTTACTTAAAATTCTATTGATATATTTACCACTTCGTAAATGTGGTTTTAGTCGAAAACTTTCAACTGAAAATCGTTTCCATTTCAATGCATACCAGAAATAAAGAAACGTCATATGGCACACCATTTTAAACAGATAAAATCACATAAGAATAATATTTCTTATATTTATCTACACTAGAGTAAGTCATTTTACTTATTTTATCCGGATTTAAGCAAACAATCAAATGCGTGACATGAAATTCACACTACAACGGCATAATATATTACAAAAAATAACGTAATTATACAAATATAAAACTTAATACGAAGGCTACAGTGCAGAACAAATATAAACATGCTTTATTGACACCTTGCCTGAATGAACGAGAAACCAAACAGCCTCATTTAGGGAAATGGCCTCCTTTAACGGCAATGAATTATTTGTACTGTCTGTCGATACTGACTACAGAATCATCTAACCGTTCAAAATCGTAAACAACAAACTTATATTTAGCGTAGGTATAATGAAACACTCAATCCATTTCGAGGGCAGCTAAAGGTCCCTCCTCATCAGGAGAAAGAAATACATAGAAAGAAGAAAATAGGAGTCACAGAAACACGTGGTGCTTATCAGCACTGCACGTGGTTATAACTAGATTTTTAATCAGAGTTGCACTGGCCGCCTACTTTTACTGAGCCAGGCTGTCTGATCGAGCATAAAGAAATATTAGCGAAGTTAAAATAGGGAGCGAGGGGCAAATGCACTTTACGCTCAAAATCTGAACTTCAAATAATGGAAAGCAACCACTGAACGGATTTTTATACCCTCTGGTAGTACCAAACGCGAGGAGGTAACGTCATCTATCGGCAAAAATAATTGAATTAAGATAGTAGAATTTTAAAGGCATTAGGAAGGACTGGATCGGACTTCAAATCATTAACTAAACTTTCTAAATCTTTGTGAATGTGAAAAGCCTCAAGAAAATCCAATTCACCTATGGAAGAAGCCTTTTGGATGATTTTTGCAGACCCAAAATCAAAATTATGGTTAAAAGTCCAGCTATGATACGCTATTGAAGACTTGTTAATTTCGCCTTTTTTTGACATAAGATTCATGTTCCTTGATACGAAACTTCAACGCTCTTTTTGTTTGGCCAATATATCTTAAACCACACTGACATGATATACTATAAATTCCCCAAGAATTCAAGACAGAAACGCAATCTTTTAGAATCGAAGGGTGAATTTTATTAATAGGGGAGAAACCGACTTGAAAATTGAATTTCTGGAGAATCCGTGCAATTTTATAGCTAACAGGAGGATAAAATGGAAGCACGACAAGGTCATTAATATTATTTCTAACAGTGGAATGTCCTCTTTGATGGGAATCTGAAAATTTTTTGACAGCTTTAACAATAATCACGGGAGAAAATCCACGGTCAATTGCAACTGCTCTCAAATAATTAAGTTCATTGGTAAGCAAAGATTCAGAGGAACAAACTTTTAGCAAACTTAAAAGTATTAAAATATAATTTCAACTTTTCAAAGACATCTAAACCTTCAATTCCTCAAATCATCGCCCCTATAGAGAAAGCCTTTAAATTCTCCAAAATTTCGGAAACGCAGAAGGATACAATCCGCCACCTAATTACTCATAACGTTAATTTTAACAATAAATCTTTGGGTTCTAATCTTAGCAAAAAGGAAAATGAGATCTTACGTGAAATTCATTCTGATACTAATATCATTATCTCTAAAGCTGATAAGGGCGGACAGATCGTTGTTATGGACAAACACACATATATTACTGGAGTCTCTAAATTGATAAATGAAGGCCCATACTGCTCGATCCCTAAAGATCCTTCAACTTCGGACCTCATGAAAGTAAAAAGTGCTATTAAATCTTCCCACATTCTGCCAACTCAGTTGAAGAAATCACTTATTCCGCCTATTACTAATTGCGCTAGACTTTATGCTCTTCCAAAAGTCCACAAAACCGGTATTCCTTTTCGACCAATTGTTTCCAACATAGGTACTGCTTCATATCCTTTGGCCAAATATTTAGTTTCCAGATTTTCTCCTCTACTTGCTAACAATATTCACACTGTAAAAAATTCTGTTGAAGTCATTGATAAACTTAAAAATATTTCCCCACTTCGTTCCATTATGGTTTCATTTGATGTCAAATCATTGTTTACTAATGTTCCGGTCGAAGGAGCACTAAATTGTCTTGAAACTAGGCTTCGGGAATTTCACTTCACACATACTGAAATTAATGAGTTGGTTTCGCTTACTAAAGTTTCTCTAAGTCAAACCCACTTTGTTTTCCAAAATGCATATTTTCGTCAAGTTGAAGGATTGGCTATGGGTAATCCTCTCAGTCCGGTACTTGCTGACATTTTTATATGCACTATTTTGAGATGAAATTATTTGATAAACTATCTTTTCGTCTTTGGATTCGGTATGTTGACGACACTTTCGCACTTTTTGACGGTTATAAAGAGGATTTATCCGAGATTCTATCTATTATGAATTCAATTGATCCAGCCATCCAATTCACTCTTGAAATTGAATCCAACAATTCCCTCCCCTTCCTCGATATTCTTATAATCCGCAATGAAACCGATTTTAGCACCACTGTGTACCGTAAACCCTTTGCAGTTTGTTTACCACCCCATGCCAAGTCATGCCACCCTGTTAAGCAAAAAATGGCTTCTTTTTACTATTATGTTTTCCGCGCGCTTAAAGTTTGTTCCTCTGAATCTTTGCTTACCAATGAACTTAATTATTTGAGAGCAGTTGCGATTGACCGTGGATTTTCTCCCGTGATTATTGATAAAGCCGTCAAAAAATTTTCAGATTCCCATCAAAGAAGACATTCCACTGTTAGAAATAATATTAATGACCTTGTCGTGCTTCCATTTTATCCTTCTGTTAGCTATAAAATTGCACGGATTCTCCAGAAATTCAATTTTCAAGTCGGTTTTATCCCCTATTAATAAAATTCACCCTTCGATTCTAAAAGATTGCGTTTCTGTCTTGAATTCTTGGGGAATTTATAGTATATCATGTCAGTGTGGTTTAAGATATATTGGCCAAACAAAAAGAGCGTTGAAGTTTCGTATCAAGGAACATGAATCTTATGTCAAAAAAGGCGAAATTAACAAGTCTTCAATAGCGTATCATAGCTGGACTTTTAACCATAATTTTGATTTTGGGTCTGCAAAAATCATCCAAAAGGCTTCTTCCATAGGTGAATTGGATTTTCTTGAGGCTTTTCACATTCACAAAGATTTAGAAAGTTTAGTTAATGATTTGAAGTCCAATCCAGTCCTTCCTAATGCCTTTAAAATTCTACTATCTTAATTCAATTATTTTTGCCGATAGATGGCGTTACCTCCTCGCGCTTGGTACTACCAGAGGGTATAAAAATCCGTTCAGTGGTTGCTTTCCATTATTTGAAGTTCAGATTTTGAGCGTAAGGTGCATTTGCCCCTCGCTCCCTATTTTAACTTCGCTAATAATATTTCTTTATGCTTGATCAGACAGCCTGGCTCAGTAAAAGTAGGCGGCCAGTGCAACTCTGATTAAAAATCTAGTTATAACCACGTGCAGTGCTGATAAGCACCACGTGTTTCTGTGACTCCTATTTTCTTCTTTCTATGTATTTCTTTCTCCTGATGAGGAGGGACCTTTAGCTGCCCTCGAAATCGATTGAGTGTTTCATTATACCTACGCTAAATATAAGGTTGTTTTTTTCGATTTTGATTGTCACATTAGCGTGTTTCTCTTCTAGTCTAGCATCTAACCGTTCTTCGGGTAATATTTTCGATTTTCAACAAAGCACCTCTTCCAGTTGCCCCGGTCAGATGTCGGGAAACTGAGATCATGCCAACAGGCATCTGTCTTTAAGTATTCAACGCATGTTTAAATAGATTTATATTAGGCGTGCATTTTGGCTAATTCATTTTGTAGATACCAGCAATTCCCAAGGCCTGTTTGGCAGCATAAGTTACACTTAACCATGCTTTGACAGCCGTAAAAGGAAAGACAACTCAAAAGGCTTCGCGATGATAAATGTACATGGTGAAGGACGACTTCACAACTTATGCCAAATTAACCTCTTTTGAAAATGTGGAGCTCCGTCCCTACCATAGCAATGCCTCCTCCGTATACAAGCCGTATCGATCCTTTCGAAACATCGCTTTCCTGGACGCTACTGGAAGAAATGCATATCCATAACTCTATATATAGCTACTGTCGGGCATAATCCAGTTACACATTGAAGCAATTCTCGGTAAAGATCAGCGTCAGCTATGGTGAGGTGTCCAATGTTCTCTAAACCATTGGAAGTGTTAACTAACAGGCTACAGTATATAATACGCAGGATTACGCTTTATACCATTCAGTTGTGCGAATTATAATTAAATAATTAAAGCTATTATTAATTATGCATAGTTAGTCTAAAGAGAAATTTTATAAATATAGCTTAAAGTACTGAAAGTAATTAAAGCTATCATTAATTATGTATATTTAGTCTAAAGAGAAAAAAATATATTATCTTCTGGTTTTAAGGAAATGATAATATTTTTAAACTTCAGAAAAATACCAAGGATAAAAAACAAAAAAAAGAAAAAAAATATTAAATTTAGAGCTTAATTTTTTGTATAAATCATTATGTACTACAAAGACATAATAACGCTGTTTTAACAACTGTAACATCAAGGTCGATTTCCGCGAACATTTACGCGTCGTTAACACGTCGTGATCGGATGCTTTCACAACCAAATTATAACCTGAGAAAGACGCAATAACGACGTGTATTCAAAATAAAGCTCATCTGCAAAGACTTAAAACAGACGTCTTTGCAACTCTTGCAAAGAGTGCAATTTCGCGGACAGCTGGGCGTCTAAATGACGACATATTGCAAAATTTTTGCAACATGAATCGCCACCAGTTTGACAATTCGTTAAGAAGTTGCGGTGCCCCTTCGGGACTCTTCTCTTTTTCGCATAAGCTCTACTGCTGCCAAGATCCTTTTAACAAATGGTGCTCCCGAACACTTGCTTAAGATGACACAATACATTAAAAAGAAACTTGTATTCAAATATAATTAAGAAACATTGTGAATCTACAAGATCTGTTGTTATGAATATATGATCATGCATTTCCACTCAGCCCTACCTTCAGCCCATTTGTTTTTCTGAACTATCTACACAAAATCTAAAGCTGTTAAAAAGTTCCTATGTTTTAGTCTATGCATTTTAAAATTATTACATGTATATATATGTCGATTTACATATGACGCCTAATGTAATTCGAGATATAGTCCCAGACTGATTTACAACTTAATAACAATGATTTTCTTTCGTATAAGAAGAACATAACAGAGATAATTATTTGTAATAACTATGAATAAAATATATACCTTCACTAACTTTGCCGCATGGAGTTTCTTCTGGGGTTCCATCTGTAGTACCTGCATGAAAAAATATTTATTAAAACTTATTTTAAAACTAAAAATAAACTATTGTAGGAAATGGTTTCAGCTATTGGCAGCCTAAAGCTACGGTTTTGGTATTAAATAACTAATATTTTCTTATTCATAAAAGCAAAAGCATATTCAAATGAAATAAGATAAAGAAGCTAATTCAACTCTTTCTACTGAACATTCATCATATTAAATAGTTCTCAAATTTGATCGGATTTTCAACATCCGTATGGGATCAAATATTTTTAGAAATTCCTAAATATTATAAGTAGTTTGAAATTGTAGATAGAGCCAAAATGCTTTAAAATGCTATTTTAATAGGCAGAATTTGAGATTCGTCTTCAAATAACGTAATCTAATAGCGCATTCAAGATGTGGTATGTAATAACAAAAGGGTAAAATATCAGGATCTCGATGTTTACGTGCACTTTAATTTCCATATCAGAAAGGAGTAGTTTTTAGCTTTTCAAACTACTAAACCTATGATTGACGTTAAATTATCAGAAGAACCGTCGAAAGGTTTAATAGATTGCTATAATACGCTGAAAAGTTACACTTAGTTGCTGTTCCACCGATTCACATTCCATGTATATTGTTTGTTCACTGGATGATTATTAAACAAACATCTGTGCTCGAGGCTTGCTCACTTTGGCTAGCTGCCAGATTTGAAGTCAGATTTTCCGCATATGATCTAAAAACGTATTGTTAAGGAAATATTAGCATTACTATGAAATATTGTAATCTATAATTATCTGATATTTAATTGTGCAAAATTAAAACATCCAACATTTTTTATTGATTGCAAATATGCAGGTTTATTCCTTGTCGTTTGGTATCTATTCTTCCAAACACTGTGTAATTTTTTTATATATATTGCTGTTATGTATGTCTATTAGATTATTTCAATAAATGCATGTTGGAAATTAGGTTTGTTATTTATTAAATTTAAGTATATTCTCTTTTCTTCGGTTACATTTCATGTGCTTGTGATAACAAAGAAATTCATAACAAATATATACAACCTGTGCAATTTATTTTTCATCCTGTGCTATTTAACGAACAGCTTACTTTAACGTACTTAGCTGACAATCGTATACTACATTATTTCTGTACAGTATGAAAAGGAAAGTTAGTGAATATTAAAAGTGCATGAAATTAATCATTGTAATCTACCACTATTCTAAAAATGTATAAACTAAACACTAAGTAAATACATTTATATAAGATCGAAAGAAACGGTGTTAAGGAACATCGGCATTATTAGTAAATACTGAAATCTATAATTATTGCACTTTTAATTGCTTACTATTTAAAAAGACCAAATAATTTTTATTAATTGGAAATTTTAGTTCTCTTACCTTCTGCTATTTATATTTTCAAACACTGCTAGTTGATATACTTTCTTAATAAGTGCTGTGATGCATGATGTTTGTTAGGTTATTATTTCACTTTAGATATGTATATGGCAATTAAATTTTTTGCCATTAGGTTTAGGTATATTTTCGTAAAGAGAACGATTTTGACCACATTTTTTAATTATTTTATATAGTCATTCATTTGCATATGTTGGAGATATCGAAGTTAACGGTTATATATTTAACTACGAAACGCGAAAAAATGTATACTTCAGTTCAGGTAAAATATTGATTATGTTACCTTATGCTTCCTAATGTATTATACCTGGAGCAATTTTTATTTTCTCTCAGATTTAACAGAATTAAATGTGATAATGCTGATATAATCAGAAATGCTCTTTTTTTACCCACATATATAGCTTTACTTTTATTTACCTCTGATTGAGTTTTATTTACTTAAAACCTATTATTACTATTATATATTTAAAATATCCACTTTCATAATGACTCTCATCTACATATTAAAGGTTTGAAGGAGAAAGAACAGTGAAATATTTAAAAATCGTAACTTAAAATTTTTACAGAAAATATAGTTTAAAGTACTGAAAATAATTAAGTCTATTATTAATTATGCATAGTTAGTCTAATGGGATATTTTAAAAATATAGTTTAAAGTATGGACATTATTTAATGCTATTATTAATTATGTATATTTAGTGTAAAGAGAAAAAGTTTTATTATTAAAAATTGTGTTTTCAGGAAATAATAAAATATTTAAACTTTAGAAAAATACAAAAAATAGAAAATTAAAAAAAAAGAAGAAAAATACATTCATCTTTAAGCTTATTTTTCTGCATAAATCATTATGTAATACAAGGACATATTAACGAAGTTTTCACATCTGTTACAAAAAGTTCGGATTCCGCGAACGTTTAGGCGTCGTTAAGGCGTCGTGATACTACGCTTTCACAACCAAAATATAACCTGAGAAGGACACATTAACGACGTCTATTCAATATAGACCTCATCTGCAAAGACCTAATAAAGACGTCCTTGCAACGGTTAAAATACAGTGGAGCTTCGCGTACATCTGGGCGTCATAAAGTCGACATATTGCAGAGTTCTCGCAATATGACTCGCGACCAGTTTGCAACGTTGTTACAACGTTGCGTGATAATTAGCAGTCTTTTCCTTTTTCGCATAAGCTCTTCTGCTTAAAAATGCTTTTCATCCATGCTCCTGCCGATCACCTGCTTAAGATGACGTCGTATATCAAAATGAAACTCGTATTCAAATATACTTAGGAAACATTGTGAATCTTCAAGTTCCGTTGCGCTAAATACATCATCATGCAAAATCACTCAGCCCTACCTTCAGCTAATATGGTCTTCTCAACCATCTACGCAACATCGAAAGCTGTTAAAAAGTTCCTATGTTTTAGTCTACACATTTTAAAATTATTACATGTGTACATATCGATTCTTATATGACGCCTAATTGAATAATAGTCCCAGATCGCATAACATCTTAAACAATTAACAGTGTTTTTAAATCGTATAAACACTTAAACTGAGATAATTATTTGTAAAAATTATGAATAAAACAGATACCTTTACTACGTTTGCCGCATGGAGTTTCTTCTGGGATTCCATCTGTCGTACCTGCGTGTAAAAATATTCTTTAAAATGTATTTTCAACCTAAAAATAAACTACGCTTTGAAATGCTTTCAATCTAGTACAGCAGCTTAAAAATATTTTCTTGGCATTAAATAACTAATACATTTTTGCCTTAGCTAAATGGGATTCAAATTAAATTATAAAAAACAAGCCTATGCAACTTTTTCCTACTGTACATTCATCATATTCCATAGTTCGTTCTCAAATTTGATCTGATTTTAAACATAGATATAGGAGCCAATTCCTTCAGAAATTAATAAAATTTTTAAGTAGTTTAAATTTGGAAACAGAGCCTGTTAATTTCCTTTTGCAGTTAAATGAGTCATTCATGAAATGTTTGTAAAAGACAAAGCATTTATTTAAAGATAAATCTTAATAACCAAACGTAACGTATTCGTGAACGTACATAACATAACAAATGTACTTACTGCATCGTACCATTAAACATTTCAAGCGTAAATCATCTCAGTGTATTTTATTAAAATTTATAAATAGAACGACATCCAGAATTAGCTGTTGCCATTTTCTTAATAGATATTTTGTCTAATAACAATTAAATAATTTACAATCGTGCTTACATTCGACCATCCTGACTTTTCAATTGTCCTCAATTGAACCAAATCTTGTCATACATTAAACGACAAATAAACAACAACAAAAATATAATAAGTAGGTAGAAAAAAAAATAAAATAAAATATAATTTTAAAAAAAATTCTATAAGTCCTACACAAAGTCTCTATAGCGCAATGGTTTGTGCACTTGTTCGCTTGGGGCCTTTTAAGTTCGTCGTCATCAACCTCGTCATTATCATCGTCTTCTGTATTTCTGGAAATGATGGCCTCCGAAGATCTGTTTTTAGCACGTGAATCAGCTTGGTTCGGCTTTCGACAACCCATTTTTGATCTGATCTTACAGATCAAAAGTGGACAAGATCTAGATCCTTGACCGCGTGGCTGCTGTTCTTCGTCATTTGCTTCAGTATCTTTACTAGTTGCTTCTTCTCCTTCCATTCTACTTTGACTGCATTCAGTGTCATTCCTATGATAGTGGGATTTCGCTTTTAAACACTTTTGATAAAATCGTCTAGGATTCCAGTGATTGTCTTTTCCACCTCCTGAAACTCTTTCTCATTTCTTCGTTTTTTCTTTCATTTTGTTCATCTTCACTTCTTCATCACGTCCAACGTTTCGTGGAAGTCCTATGGATAGATAACTACAATATTGCCTGAAGTAAGGATGACGTAATTGCCTTCGTACGGGCCTTTGAGGTTGTAGCTGCTGCTTATCATCTGCATTCTCTTGGCTCTGACTACCATCACTTTCGTCATTCTGTCTTTGCCTTGGCATGAAGTGGTGTTTAGAGAACAGTTGGCCACAGTGTCGAATTCTATTTGCAGCATAAGGACTATTTTTCACCGAAGTGCGATTCAGTCCTAATCAGATTTGCAGCTTCATTCTCCTTCTCTCGAACAACAACTTCAAATGCACCTAATTCACAATATCCTACACTTTGAACGGCACTTTTTGTATTGTTTTTCTTTGCTGGAGTTTGGTGAACGAATATATCTTCTTTAGTGTCCATTTTTATGAGATCAGTGCACCCGAGTTCTGAAATATTCAGTGCGAAGCAATCTCTGTATTCATTCGAAAAACGCAATAACTCTTGCTGGTGATCAATGTCGAGATCCGAGCCAATTTTAACTTGGCTTAAACTTATAGGAACTTTTATGTTGTTAATATTTTCCGTTTTTGCTAAGTTCGAGCTCAATTCAGAAATTTCAGTATTTAAACTTAGTTCAACTTCTTCTGCTCTCCCAACGCATTGATCTTTTTGGAGCTTAACACTTCTATCGCCAACGTTAATCACTGGTATACAAGTATCGCCATTTTTTTTCTAATAAACAGCCTATACCTTCGGAAGGATTTTCTATCATAATTAATCCATTATCTACAGAATCTGTTTGAGAACTGACAAGACTGATCGTATTTTTCTCTAATTCATTTTCCTCGAGAGCTTTAAGGAAGACTCGATTTATTTTTTCATCAATTTGGAGGTTACTAAATAGTTCATCTTCCCTATACCCGAAGTGAAATCTTTTCCTATTCTGACATAAGCGATGTGAGGCAGATCAAGCCATGTCCATCCGATGATTAGATCAACTGGTTGTGCATTATCAGGTAAAAGGTATATATTTATGCCTTGGCCTTTTACATTTTCAACTTCAATATCGGCTTTAATCATTCCTATAGAGGTCACTGCAGGCACCCTTTGATTTCCAAAACCGTACAATTCATTCATAGCAGGTTCAGGTTTCACTTTAAGTTTCTGAGCAAATGAAGTCCTTAAGAGACAATAGAAATCCCCGTATCAATTAAAGACCTGTACTTCTTCAGAATTATTCAGTTTTGCTTTTTTCAAATATGAATTGCTCTCTTCTAAATTTTCGCCAACTTGCTCAACAGAATAATTTTTATCATTTGAATGATTATTTTCAGCTTTAGTAACACAATTTTTAGCTTTATGACCTATTTTATTACATTTTCGGCATGACCATATGTCATTAAAATGATCTTTTACTTCTGGAGACACTTTACGTTTTATCTGACCCGCTACAATAAGGTCGCTAAGTTTCTCAAAATTATCTACTTTAATTCCGCTTATCCATTCATTAAAAAAATTTCTTAACTCATACGCAAAATTCTTCCATGTGTTTCCTACTCTCTTATTCTGCTTAAAAAATTTTTTTCGAAATTTTTCAGGTGTCATCTTGTACCGTTTTAATAAGATCCTTTTAACTTCTTTATAATCGTTTGCAATCTCATCAGTTTCTCTGGCGATTAACTGAGCAATATCATACGGCAATAAGCCAAACAAATGAGTAACCCATGTATTTTCTGGTATTTCAAATTGTTTAGCCAAACGTTCAAACATGATTAAATATCAACTGATATCATTCTCGTCAGGTTTAAAGTTTTGCATCAAACGATGAAGCTCTAACTTTGGATTCATGTGCGTACCACTAGCATTTTCATTGGTTCCAGAATTTGTAGATCTACTTTCTGCTTCAATACGTAGTTTTTGCAGTTCAAATTCCAATTCATACTTTCGTTTTCGTTCCTCATATTCTTCTTTTTGCCTACGTTCTGCAATTTCTTCTTTTCGCCTACGTTCTTCATCTTGACGTTTTCGTTCTTCAATTTCTTCTTTTTCTTTTCTTTCATTTATTATAATGTTTAACCATTCTTTGGCGCATTCTTCATCGTACTCTTTGCTAGCCAAAATTATCTTTTTTCAATCGCTCATTTTATGACTCTCATTTACATCTTCTCCCAATTCTTCAGCTAATATTCTTAAATCGCGTTTCTTTGCCTTACCGAAAATAGACATTTTCGTACTTATTAAAATGCAAATATATATATATATATATATATATATGCTATTATTATATATATAAACTTCCTATTTTAAACTTTGTTTGACGTTCTAAATATATTTCAAAATTTAAAGAAATGAAGAAAAAAAATAAACTGTCTTTCCAAAATGATAAAAAAATTAACAAAATTAAATTGTATAATAAATATGTTACATCAATCAATGCACATACCTTGAAATTCAAATTCGTTTCAATTTATTTACGCTGTTCGGTGTCTGAAAGAGTATTGCTTGGCAGCATTGTTTTACGCCAAGCAGAGTTTGGCTTTAGTGTAACCCTAAAGTTATTTCGTTTTTGCTTTATTAGTATGAATGATTTCTGACTTGATGTAAGAGCATATGGTTGCTCGCTCTTAGCTAAGTTACATAGGTAACTATAAGCACATGCGTGTGCTAGTATTCAATAATGTTGTTTTTGTTAAAATAAATTTGTTATTGTTAATATTACAGTCCACTTACTGAAGTTAAGTATCATTAAATAAGTTCGAGCTATCTTCGGCAAGAACAGTTTGGTCTCACGTTAGCCGGAGAAGAATATGGCTACTAATATTGTTTCATTGAATCGCCAACGCGGCGTAGTGAAAACGAAACTCGGAGCTTTGATAAAATTCCTTGATGAGTATAAAATGGAGGAGAATAAACTCAACCATGATGTTATTATGAAGACTAAATTGGATTCTTTGTTGGAATTAAAATCTCGGGTTAAACAACTCATAGTGGAATACACCAATTTGCCAGAGGAAATTGACTTGAAGGATAATCTAAGCATTACACAAGAATTGGAAGAAAGCATCGAAGAGTTCGAAGTAAGATTTAGAATTTTTCTTTCTAATTGTGAAACAAATAATAAAGATAAATTTGAAACCAAAACTGTTTCTAAATCAAATTTTAAACCGCCTGATTTACCTCTTCCTCAATTTTATGGTAAATATGAAGATTTTTTAAAATTTTAAAGTGCAATTTATGTCTATGATTGGTAATAATAATAATTTAAATGATACTGAGAAACTGTTTTATTTGAAAGCATCACTTAAAGGTGAAGCAAAAATGTTAGAATCATGTCAGGATACATTTGAGTCGCTATTTTCTGCACTTGAAAGCAGATATGAAAACACAAGAGCAGTAGTTGATGCCTTTATCAATAATTTGTTGAACTTTGAAAAAATAAATGACTCACCTTCTCAGTTGAGATCACTGGTAGATAATGTTAAAAGATGTTTGAGATCTTTAAGTGTATTAGAATTTGATAGAAATAATTTATCTGATGTTTTGATATTAAATATTTTATTGCATAAATTAGATAGAGAATCTAGAAAAGCATTTGAACTAAACGTAAAATCAAATGAAATTCCCAAACTTGATGAATTTTTAGAATTTCTCGAAGAAAGAATTCGCATTCTTGAAGAAATAAACAAAGTTAGTTTTCCTAAGCAGAGCTATGCTACTAAAGTATCAAATCAATTAAGTCGCTCTAGAAATTCAAAATCCTTGGTAACTAAAACAAACCCTTTTCGAAAGTGTATTATGTGTGTAAAGAACCACACCCAATATATCATTGTTCGAAATTTAAGAGTATTTCTGTTTCTGAGCGGTATGATTTTGTTAAAGAATATAAATTATGCATTAAATGCCTTTCTCCATCACACGTATTATCGCAGTGTAAGGCTAAATTTAGCTGTTATGTCTGTAAGAAAGACACACATCATTCGCTGTTACATAAAATTGACGAAAAACAAAATGAATCATCGAAAGAAAAAGAATTGACCTTGAACCTTTCGTCAGTGAATGGGAAAGAGGACTGCCCCTCTCCCCCCCACACAACTTTGATGGCAGCTGCAAATAAATCTAAATTTGTGTTAATAAATACAGCGATTGTTTATCTTCGCGATGTTTACGATGAACGAATTCCTTTTAGAGCCGTGCTTGATTCAGCTTCGACTTCTAATTTTTGTACTGTAGGTGTTATGAACTCATTAGGAATAAAAAAAGAACGAGCATTTATTCCAGTTAGTGGAATAGGCAACACTACTTTGAATGTTAAATCGCAAATAAAGACGCGTTTATCGAACTTAGAAAAGGAAAATGAATGGGAAATAGAGTTATTAGTTGTTCCCAAAATAACTGACATGACACCATCGAAATCTATTGATATTTCGAAATTAAATATTCCGAAAGGAATAAAGTTAGCTGATGATGAATTTTTCAAGGCAAAAAAGGTAGATTTATTATTAGGTGCGGAATTATTTTTTGAATTTTTAAAAACAGATAAAATACGTTTAGAAGATAATGAGTTACTTCTTCAAAACAGCTGCTTCGGCTTTTTAGTTTCTGGAAGCATTAGAATTCCAAATGTAAAAAATTATGACTTAAATTATTGTTTTTTGTCAACAGAGATTAATTCGTTAAATAACTTAGTAAAGTCATTCTGGGAAGTTGAAGAAGTAAATGAAACTAAATCTACAGTTAATTCTGAATTAAATTATTGCAACGAACTTTTTAAAAACTCATTTTACCGGCATGCGGATGGAAGATATGTGGTTAAAATGCCGTTCAAGCCAGATATTGGTGAAAACATACA